CGCCACGGTTTGATGTTGCCGTGTAGAATGGGGTTAGCCCAAACCAGATATAATGTATAGGCATTGGTGGTTCAGGGTCTTTCATTCTTCAATCTGCCTGCATGCAGTATTGGAGGTGGAAGATACCTGGACGTGTAATGTTAATTTTACCTGTGATCCATTTTTTGTATCCAAGTGGACTGCCTCGTCTCTCTGAGTTCCTGGTTAAGAGAACTGGAAAATAGCTTTCAGTGTGGAGAGGCCTACAGAACATCACCAGCTATAGGACACCGTCCCCTGCCGTGGAGAGCTGTCAACTGGCAGATGCCCTGAATGTGTTTTACTGCAGGCTCCCCCCACAATCACCTCCCTTTCCTCCAGCCCTCCACCCTTGATGGTCTGTCAAACGGATATGTATTTCCTTTTTAAAAAAACAAATGATCAGAAAGGCACCAGGCCCAGACGGTGTGCCTGCCTGGAAGCCTGTGCTGATCAGCTGGACCCCATGTTCACTCAGATCTTCAACACATCACTGGAGCTGTGTGAAGTCCCTTCCTGCTCTAAATGCTCAACCATCATCCCAGTTCCCAAGAAACCCTTCATCAGTGGACTGAATGACTACAGACCTGTCACCCTGACATCTGTGATCATGAAGTCCTTTGAGAGACTGGTGTTAGCCCACCTGAAGGACATCCCTGCTGCTGGTCCCCTTGCAGTTTGCTTACCTCTACACCAATGACTGCACCTCAGGGGACCCCTCTGTTAAACCCCTGATACAACCTGGGGCTGGTAATGTTTGTTCTTTTAGTGACCTACTAAAAATGAAAAGCTTCATGTATTCTATATCTCTAAGAAGAAAAAAAAAGACTAAGCTTTGGCAAACCCAGGAATTAAACTGGACCTTAAATGGAATTGCTATTGGAACTCAGAACCCACAAAATGGCAAAACAGTCCGTTTTAAAGTGGAAATCAATGTTGTTGATGAAAATGGGTAGATGGAAAAAAAATTAATCATAAGAGATATAATATTGTTACATTTTATCTGATAAGTAGCATCCAACTTTTACAATATACTCTAGTTATCTAAAAACTGCATAAAAAAAACAACTCATCACTGCATTGCTAGTACACACATTTCCATCTGCTCTCTTCTAAGGTCTCTCACCTAGAATAGCAAGAACTAGCTGCTGCCTCTATTTGGCTATGATGGAAACAGCGTGACAGTCAGATGTCCTGCTGGGAAGACTGATGACAGCATCCCATTTGCAACTCCACAGCCAAGTGAGCTGCTGCAGACCATGCACATTTGTGCATGTCTTTTTTTTTTTTTTTTTGTGTTGAAAAAGTGATTCATGAACATTGGGCTCAACACATATGCGACGCTTGTGTTTGTGTTACATGAAAAATTCACATGCAAAATGATGGCATATACAGGGTATGAGAAAGAAAATAGAAAACAATGTAGGTCAAGTGCACAAACATTATGTGCGTGCAAATCAAGAGCACAAAAAATACACCACAGAGTCAGCTATTTATTTATTAGCCTGGACTAGTCTATCTGTACTAACCAGGACATCACCATTACTTACAGGATAAACTGCAATACCATTTGTGATTGCATTTAAATCACAGGATTACAGGAGTCATCCATCAGCTGGCCTAATGATACAACAAAAACAAAGATAGGAAAAAAACATCCATGTTGGAAACCATCTAATCCCTCAGCCCTGGGCCTGTTTGGCCCAGCAGAGCCCTGCTGTCAGAGAGTCACTATAACTGGCCTCAGGAGAGCAGCAACTCATTGTGACAAAGTGATAACACTGTTATAAGAGATAAGGCTCTCTACGTACACCATGAGACCGTGAACATGGAGTACCAGCTGTGCCCGTAATGAGTCCCGGAGTTTCCAGGGCTACATTTTGGTGCCACCCACTGCTGGTGGCTGACTTCTGACCTACATGCCCTCATTTTTCATTAATTAAAACATGGTATGCCATCTCCAGCCAATTAAGATGACCACACTCTTAAATGCAGGAATGGAAACACAGAGAGAGAGAGAGAGACAGAGAGGCAAGAGAAAGCCTCGCTTACCTGGCCCAATCAGCAGACCGAATTACAACTGAAAACCCCTGGTGGCTATTAGCACAGCCCATACCAATTAAGATGCTAAGCGAATCTCGAGTGCTTTGGAGATTGAGACCCACTGTGTATAATGCCTCCTAACCATAACATGACACTGAAAATGATGTTGGTCCCGTTTCCAGTGTAAAGCATACCTTCACCCCCCTTCACCTATTAAAACCTGAGAGTCTTCAATTAGAGTCATTTGCATTTTGCTAATATAATTGTAGCCATGGTCATTAATAGGAGAGTGGAAAATGAGCGTAGTAGTAAAGACTTAATCCAAGCTCTGGAAGAATAGATATCTTCCTACTAACAACCACTCCCCCTCCTCCTCTCCAGACAAGTGGAGATGACAGTATTAGCTGGGCCTGTCATCGCAAGTGGGCTGAGAGTTATTAAATATGACCTGAATTTAACTATAACTCAATAACTAAAAATAAGGGAGTCATTAGGAGCCATTTGTTAATGTGGAGATGTGTTGTTGCAGCTTCTCAAATAGATAGATAGATACACTTTCTTTCTTACATTACTGTTCTTCACAACTGCATTCGGACATATTCACGACAGACAGAAAGAGAGAGAGAGAGAGAGAGAGAGAGAGAGAGAGAGAGAGAGAGAGAGAGAGAGAGAGAGAGAGAGAGAGAGAGAGAGAGAGAGAGTAAATGTGCCTTATTTGCCACACACATGAGATTATTGTAATCGTTTGTGTGTCTATAAGTTAATGTAACTGCCTTAGAAAAGCTTAGGCACAGCACCTAAGTGTTTTTGCGAAATGCAAGTAAAAAAAAAAGAAACATATCAGTATGAATGTAAAAACAACAGTGAGTTATATGTTCTGAAAAATAAAGGAAAATGACTTGATCTCAAACTGAAACCCAAGCTGGCAACAGGAATGACCTGTCAATCAACAATCAGTGTTTGGACGAACGTCTATGAGTGATGTGTGACAGCATCACCAAGGTAATTTAACTATCAACTGAGGTTTAATCACCTGAACGATCAATGATCTAGCTCCCAAATGATCAGATGGATTTCTGACATTTCAGAAATACAGTAGCTAGTAGCAGCAGATTACCGCTGTTCATCAGCCATACAAAGTAAATGGCTAAAAGTAACACTGGTTACCAAGAGGTTGACCTCAACTTTACTAACATTGTCAGTGAACACACACACTCAGGTAATCTGTTTAAACATCCAGTGTGAGCGCTCGCATCATGGCCGAATGAGTGAATGTACAGTGTGAGCAGTGAAGTCATGGACTCTGGCCATGCAAGGGGAAAAAAAACATATAGTGTGAGCCCTCTGAAACCCTAGGTAAAAACCCTGGACTGCATCTAGTTCAGACTTGTGCCATGTTGAAAGTGATATGTAAATGAGACTAGGTCTGACCTGGTAAGACTGCCACCACAACTCTGATAGAAAAGTGACCAGGGTGCTCATTCAGGTACAAAGCCAAGGCAGGCAGATGCCGTCAAATTAATGGAAAAGAGCGCATGTCGGAAAGGGGTTATAGTGTTATTATCTAGATCATCATGAAACAAACTCCATCAGTGAGTAAGTCTGAAGGCAAATTACTTTCAGTGTCTTGGGACCATGTAACTGGGGAAACGTAAAATTATCATGGTTTTCATTAAAAGAAAATAATAATTTGCTTATCACCTCATTCTCGCAGTGAGGCAATTTAAACAACAATTTACATTTAGTGGCGATTCATTCAGTAGCACTCTCCAGCACACTGATCACAGTTACATCTCCTCTTTAAGCACCACCTTTAAAACCAAATGAATCATCTCTAGAGGTATATTCTGATACACTTGGTGAAAGAAATGTGATGACAATTAAAAAAAACAAGCTTGCACAATGTTACTTGCCAGGCCTGCAATACAGGCAAGTAAACATGCTTGGAGATTTGCCTTGTACAGAATGTACTGTACAGCAATGTACAGAAGGTGAAATCTTGAGCACTGCTAAAGAGTTTTAGCCTAAGAAAACAAATAACATTAAGTTCCAGTTTCTGTCACTTCCTTATGCAACTACTCTCTCATCATGTCCTACTTCTAATCCCTTGTTTAAGGTTAGGATGGGGGATGTCTAAACCATAGTACATGTGATAGATGAGAATGCACGTGGACTGAAGCAACAGCAGATTTGCAATAATAACTGTAGTCTGCAGACACAGGCTCATCTGGATTAAACTGATGCAGACACTAATTTTATAAAATAAACAAATCAACCAAAAAGAGAAAGAAAAAACAGGATGTGAATCTGGCATCATTGGCAGCTTTGGTCCGTCTGATGATTAAGTGGCAACATAATTAACAACTCAACATTATTTTGTCTACATTAGATATTAGTATTTTGGAATCAGAACATTAACTTCCCTCATAGTGCACAGTTGGGGGTCAGTAGGGGACTGTGCCAGCGGGGCATGTTGTTGAAGGTAATGGGTGAGATAATGAAAAAAGATTCAGGAAGACCATTTGGAGCCAAAACACTTCAGAGCGGTATGTAATTCTCCCAGGCAGGATTTTCCAACTATGGCAACTTATCACTGCAGCAACTATTTCTTCTTTCCTCACAACTATCTACAAAAAAATCCAGCTGCAATGTGTACTTGAATGTATACGACTGGCGGGACATACCTGATTTCTATACAAAATGATTCATTGCTTATCAAGAAAATAACCTGCAGATTAAAGTTTGTTGTATCGTCATTTGTGAAGGCACTTGAAGGCTGGTTCAAACAGCTAATTTAGTTCTAAACCTAAAGTAAATCCCTTATATAGCTACTACTATATAAGGGATATGTAGAGCTCATGAACATAGTCACTGCAGATAACTTTTCTAACATTTGACAAGTTAGTAGCCAGTGTTATTGCTGTTAGTTGCCCACTTACGTGTCCCACCCAAGGGTCTCCATCTCAGAAATGAGCTGCGAATAATACCGTGGAGGTGGAATGGAGCTGCACTCAGGACGGCTCTTCAAACCCACTTCCTGCAATGGCACAGACAACATTTCTTTTTTAAGCCCAGATTCCTATGCACATTATATCACAACTTAACCACTGCATCATGAGCTTTCTGCTGCAAGCAAACAAGAATAGAGCAGAAGTGAATCAGGGCCAATATGTAAGTGACTGGTGGCAAGCACATAGGTTGTTACACTTTTCATTAATCTAAGAAAACATGCACATGTGTGCCTCACAATCAAGGCTATTGATATTACCTGAAGGTTCCCCTTTACTTCCTATTCATAAGGCAACAAAGTCTAAATAACCAAGCTAGCCACTGTATCACTGTACTCCTTACCAAGACAGTCTTCAGCTCCAGAATGAAACTGACAAGATCAGTTGACTGCTGCAGCCTCTGCAAGAAGTCAAAGAAGAGAGAAAAGACATTGTTGAATGTGAGGATAATGAAGTGACAGTGTCTATTTTTTCCTCTAGCCAGCCATTCAAATCAAACACAGTGTTTATGATTAATGGGGGCTGCCACCATCTTTAATAATTAATGATAGCTTAGAGGCTGTGAAAATAATGAACTTTGCAGCCCAGGGTGAAATATCAATCTCATCCAAATAACCCTGAGGGGCCACATAAAAATAGGGACATTTTCCAGGCAATGTTAATTAAACTGTGAAAAATATTTTTTCTGCTCCTGAGTGAAGCAAACCTGATGAGTGACAGAGAGCACAGGAACGCACAATGCAGCGAACATAAAGGAGTCAAAATGACATGATGACAAAAAAACATAAAACGATCAACATGACCTCAACCACAGCTGACTTACACAACAGAACAAAAATACTATGCAACAAGCAGAATGTTACAAGTGTGTCCTGCTGTATGTGCTTACCTGCTTCACTATGTGCTCATATCCATGTAACAGGTGTTTTAACTGCCAACTGCAGTGTAGCCTACAATACCAAGGTATGAACAGTTACAGCAACACTAAAACAATAAAAAAAAACAATTATTCTGTGGCTATGCAAGAACATAACTAGACACACTCATTATACCGCTAATATTCTTCTTTACTGAATTTCTAGCATAATTGGTGACATAAGCGAAATGCGTGGGATAGGTCTCCTGTAAAGAGAAGATGAGATGATCAGTTGTACTTGGCCTGTTTGAGCTGGCGATCTGGTGGTAGCAGTATTCTCATTCTGAAGTCTTGTTCCTAGAAAACACATACCGTGACGGGAAATTAAATGATAATTGTGATATATTGCAAGAGCAAGCTGCAACATTCAGTAACTTTTAAAACATGAACATGCCGAAATCCATTCAGAAATCGGGTAATAAAAAGTTTATTTACGTACTGGACGAGGTATGGGGTAACTTACAACATAACTTTAGACCACGTCTGAATTACCGAGATCAACTATTCAACTCGGCGAAAAACAAGTTGTTAATATCAGGTTTTAAGAACAAAATATCGCCTGATACATTTGCATTTCATGCTATTGAAATTAACTTATGCTAACACTGACATAACATTGACATTTACTAACACAAACCTATAACAAGTGGTGGGTGTAAATATCAATAATATAAGCTTTTTAAGAGCCGGCCGAATTTACCAGGGCTTCCAGAACATCAGTGAACGGTCTGAAGTTACAGTTTGTCTATCATACAAGTAATAACATCTTTAAATGAATAGTTTTTCAATTCAGTTTGGAGAGTCGGTCTTGTATTAACAAAATGCCACAAACACAGCGAACGTTAAATAACTAAGTTACGTTACCTCAACAGTGATAAAGCCATCATAGACTGTTTTCTCTTTGTTGAGAGGTAAAAGCAGCGGGTTGACTTGTACCAGTGAGCTGTCCATCGAACTTATGATTTGATATTATTTTCAGACTTAGGTCAATCCAGGGAGATTGGTTCCTTAGCTAACGTTAGCAATTCTGACATAAAAAATTAGCGGTGAATTTACGATTTTAAATAACTCGTTACGTTAACTTAAACCAAACATAAAAGCTTAGATATTTCAGCTAATGTTACTCAAAACAGATGCCCATACGGCGTATACGTTTAGCTAGGACAAAGTGTACAAAATCGAGAGTACATCCACGAGGGTTCACCATTCGCAACCCGCCATGAAAAACAAAACAGTTACGTCAAACGGCTGCATTCAGGGACTTGCAAAAATATGGGAATTTCGACAGACACGGACGTTGTTGGTGTGGCGTTTACACCTTGTGTCAGTGTATAAAAAATTCTTTTTTTGTTGTTTCATGTGGTTGTAGCCTATACTTATTAATTAACTGTTACAAGGTCTAGTCATTATTTGTAACACTGCAGTATCTAATTTAGAACTTAGATTAATTTTGGGTTACTGATATGAAGAATTCACAAGTTCCATTAGCTGTTAAACAAACAAACAAAGGTTATTGCTGCTGTTGCTCTAGAAACCTTTGTGATAAAACTGACTAGAAGATGAATAACCACAGAATAATGTTCAGCTAAAATAAGCCATAAAATGTGATAGCAGGACATATAGCACATGTGTGCTAATGTGTACTCTAAAGTTATGACATTGTAATAGAATTAAGATATTAATAGGATAAAGATCTTTATTTTCTAATAACAAAGTGATATAAGATTTTAGAAAATTCTAAATACGGGCCTACATTATGTTGAAATGTTATGTCATGTTCAGAATTTAACTGCCAAAAATGTTTTCTTTATTTCTCACTTTGTCTTTCTTCTTCTTTTTTTAAATAACATAATCATGTTCCAAATGACATTTATTTAGTGTGTGGTATAAATGTAAACATGGGAAGTGATCCTTCTGAACAACTGACATTTTATTTTAACAAATTCAAAGTAGTAAACAGGTAGCCCAGACTGTCCCACTGTCTAATCTACTGCTGCAGGGAGACGGTCCTTCATGTTTCCTATTGAGAAGCTGGGAAACTGTCATGCCTCTCATATCAAAGGCGGAGCAGTGAACCCACTGAACATTTGCAAAAGAAAACACTAATTCTTCATCCTTGAGGATTAGCCCCTAAATTTCTCCGTAATGACCTCCCAGCTGGAACTGTGTTTGCGTTTGGTTTCAACTTAAAATTTGTTTCCTGATTCTGTCACTTTCCAAAAATTTCTAAAGCTAAATAATCACAGTGACTGAAGTTATACCATAAACAACAGTAAAGGTACTTTCTGACAGCTAGTGATTACCTATGTACTGTATGTCTCTAAATCCTGAAGACTGCGGTCTGTAGCTTGAATGGACTGCAACAACTCTGCCAGTGTGGCTACATACTGTATCCTGCTGCACCATATGCTACAAATTTCAATATGAGTTGATTTATATCATACACACTGCTTATTCCCACAAATGGATTAATAACTCCAAAGCTGATTCAGCATGTTTTTGCTGTACAATATAATATATACGTACATGTAACATAACAGTCATAAAAGAGACATGAAAAAGGACATAAACACACACACACACACACACACACACACACACACACACACACACAAGAGATAGCCACATCCCTCAGACTAAAAGCAACAAAAAACAGGATAAAAGAAAAATTATAGCTATCGAGCTGTGTCAAGTATGTCTTAAGTGAAGATTTTAAAACAGGCATTAATGGGGCCAATCTAATATCTAAAGACAACTCATTACTGAGCTTTGCAGCTGCAACTGCAAAGGCATGATCACCTCTACATTTTTCCTTGATTTAGGAACAACCAGAAGTGCGTGATCAGCATCTGCCTGGACACTAGGGTTGAGAAGTTCTGAAACATAGGGAGGGGCTAAATCATTCCGGGCCTTAATATCCTTCAATACGAATTTAACTCAATCCTGAAACAAAAAGGTAACTAGTGGAGAAAGGCCAAGACAGGAGAGATATGCTCTGTTTTACAGGTGTCAGTAGGAAAATGTGCTGCAGCATTTTGGACAAGTTGAAGGTGATTCAGCAAAGAATGACAAACACCAGCACAAAGTGCATTACAATAGTTTAAATTAAAAATATAGATAACCCTCACTAGATCATTTCTGGGAAGAAAAGGTTTGACCCTTCAAAGAAGCCTGAATTGGAAAAAGCTTGCTCTGACTATGAAATGAATTTCTTTGCCTGGTTTAAGATCACTGTCCATTATGACACCCATATTTTTAACAGTTGGCTTTACAAGGAATTTAAGGAAACCTAGACCTTGGGGGACATCATAGGACAGAGGCACAGTAAAGGAAAAGGAGCTGCCAAGGCTATCAGAAAAACGTCTATCAGATAAATAGGACCTAAACCATGGCAAGGCAGTACCAGAAATACCAATGGAATGTTCAGTGCAGGAGTTAAGGATTTTGTGATTTACTGTCAAATGCCCTGAGAGATCTAAGAGCCAGAGGGCAGCAAAATCTCCTAAATCGGTGGTTAAAACTATTGTAGATCATTAAAAATTTAAGAAGCACAGATTTGGTGCTGTGGAAGGCTCTCAAATCAAATACAGATATATCTCAAAGAAACCCTGTCTATCTAGAAAAGACCAGTTGTACCAGCACTGCTTTTTCCAGGTCTTGTGATAAAAATGGGAGTTTGGAGATAGGTCTGGAATTAGAAAGGATGAAGACATTCAAATTTGGCTTCTTAATTAGCGGCTTGAGTATGACCTTCTTAAAAACTAAAAGACCAACCTCAGACACCAAACTGCTATTCAAAATTGCAAGAAGATCCAACGGTATCAAAGATCTCTTAGAGAAAGTGAGGAGGGATAATGTCAGTAGAGCAGTTTGAGGGTTTCACTTAAAAAGAGAACATGATAGGGCAGACAACAGTGGAGAGATAGTCAAAGCAAGGAGGAATCTGTGCACTAATATTCATAACCTTCTCAACCAAAAATTGTTTCTAATATATTTCAGGGAGCTTAGATGCAAGTGACATGAGCTCTTGTATTTTTTTATTATTATTATTATCGGTGTGGTTTCCACTGTTAAGAAATGACACAATCTAAAAAATGTTCAACCAATATAATGTAGACAGCAGCAACTGTCTCATGATCTGCACTCACAAAAGCTGCTACTGACCTGGTAACTGTTGCATTTACATTGTGAACATTGGAGGTGGCAGCAGCCAGTGAAGACATACAGTATTTTATGCCAGGACCTTTGTTACACTGTTTGTGTTCTTCCTACTGTAAGTGTGTTTTCTAGTTCTCATCTTTCTATATCCTGCAACAGCAACCATCTGAAAGTACCTTCAGGCTGCATTATTTAATAAATAAATTTGGCCACCTGGGGACAGTAGAACAGGCTGAGGAAATGCAACCTTGTCATATTATTACCTTATAAAGTTGATATGATAAATATGGCTAATGTTCTTGCCTGTTTACACATCCAGCAGTTACAGTGCTGCATTATCATTCATGTGGAGTTATATTGGTTACCACATGAATATAAGTCCAGGATTCACTTTCCTTGAATCTCTGTTTTGGTCTTCACTGACTTCGGTTGCAACATGTTCAACGCTCTCATGAGTCAGACTTGATCCCAGTTTGGATTCTTGTGTCAGACTGCATTACTACAGCACTGCTATTCAATATTAACTTGTATATTAGTGTTGGGACTATAGACAGCCTTTGTAAGCACAGTAACATAATTACTGCTATAAGGTCGTTTAAAGAGGGAAAACAGTCAAATGAATGACTTATGATTCAAACTCAATATCCAGAATCAGCCAGTGTCCTTCCTTGTGTGTAGAAAATTGCCTCAACATATGACAAACCGAACTTGAGAGATATAGAAAATTCCTAAACCAATCAAAACATGTTTACTACAAAAGCACTCTCCAACAATGCACACTTGTCCTTCAGTTTCCTTTGAGCCCATATTCATTTGTGGAGCTGTGAGGAGAGAATAGGAATGTGTGATTATACTGTAGCTGGTGAGGGGAGTGTGTCAAAATGTGCATGCCACACAATGTGCCTGGAGAGATTGATGTTTTTGTCATCCACCTGCTTCAAAGCTGTAAAAAGCCGGCTGATGCAAATAGAGTAACCTAGCCGGGCAGGCTCACAAACAAAAGAGAGAGAACCTCACTGCTCCTCTTTGCACATCTGTTTTGGAGGAATATCTGAGGTTTCTGTTGTGATGCACAGTGGGCTCAAATGAACACTGAATCTGACTCTTGTGTCTGGGAGTGGGTAAGTGTTGAATGCCCTTTTTTGTTCTCTCAGGGAAATGGGAACAATTTAAAGCTTTTTTGTGTGTTTGTAGAATGTGATGCATCGGCACAGTGGCGGTGGACGAAAGAAGCAGCAGCGGCACACTTCCCTCCCTCTTTCTCTCTGTCTTTCTCTTTGGCTCACTCTCTCGTTCTTGTCATAGAGTAAATCTGCAGGCGTGCAGTGCAGCTGGCTTTAATGGCATTCCCGTTGCAAAAAGGGCGTCAAAATGTAGCATCAGTGGATAGCAGGGCGGCAGATGCATATAGGCGGTGAGCTCTCTGTCGTCTTCTGTCTCTGCTTCTCTCCTCTCTCTCTCTCTGACCGCTCTCCCTTCCGCTGCCTCAAGTGCTGGGCTCTGTCTGGGAGAGAAATGATCTATGGTGCTTTGTTTATCACTGGCCATGGTCACTTTTCTGGAATGCAATTGGCTGGAACTACACCGTGTGGGTCCTGCACCCTGCATCTCTCTCTCTCTCTCTCTCCCTATCTCTCTATCTATCTCTCTGTCTCCCTCCCCCTCTCTCTCTCTCTTTGAAGCTAGACATGAGCAGGGGTGCCTTGTCCAATGTGCCTTTTTATCTCGCTCTTTTTTTCCCCACTGGCATTTTGCATGTATCTGAATGATAATGGGACATACTGTTGCCTGGACCAGTGATTGATTGAATGGCTTGACAGCAAAATGTGTTGGAGACGTACTGGAGTTTGTGCATGCCCAGTTGTAGATTCTCTTGTGTTTTGTCCTTTTTGAACACAATTTTCCATATGTATTTATATGTACTTTGACTTTTTTGTGTTTAAAATGACTAATATATTGCAGGAGTTCTGACCACAGTGGGAGGGTTTGCAGCGTATTATGTCATTGTTATCTCAAGATATTAATTTCTACATGTCAGATTTGGTGTTTTTAATAGACAAATCATATTCTGTTT